TGTTTCTTACATCTCAATACTTAAAAAGAAACTACTTTAAAAGAAATCTGTTTTGTGCATCTGTAAATGAAAAACCAGCATCATAGGACATAAATTTCAGAAAGATTATTAATTTACTACATAAAGATTATTGTCTCTACACCAATGGTAGGTGTGCCATACCTGACACATTGGTATAATGGATGTATAGTCATACCTTGGTATCTGTGGGGGATTGATTCCAAAACCTCCCTGAGGATACCACAATCTGAGGATGCTCAAGTCCCTTATATAAAATGAAATATATTTACATATATCCCATGTACATACTCCCAAATATTTTAAATCAACTCTAGATTTCTTATAATAGCTAATACAATGTACATGCTCTGAATAGTTGTAACACTGTATTGTTTACAAAGTAATGATGAGAAAAAAAAGTCTGTACATGTGCGTTGAGGGTCTAATGACATTTTTCATTTGCAGTTGGTTGAATCCACAGATGAAAACTCCCAGATACAGAGAGCTGACTGTATTGCATTTACCCCTCTAGATTCACTCTCACCCTTTTCTACTCTGAAGAGCCCAGACAACTTTCTTCACTAAGGCATTAAGAAAGGAAGGCTGTGGTTTTTCTGTGTGGGCTAGATATGATAATGAAGGTTACTCCTTTGGAATTTCAATGGGCAAAATAGGAGTCTGAAATAGTAGACAGAGGCCAGGGGATGGTGCTTATCTTTCAGAGACAAGGAGGACGCAATGACCAATAAGCCACAGGATGGAATGCTAAGCAGCATGTTTTCAGGCATAGAGTTGTGTGTGATGGCTACTTGATCACAGGTCTATAGGAAAAAAATAGATGGACATCCTATTAAGGTGTTGCTTGACATAAAAAGACAAAAATATTCTATGTTCACTAAGCTCAACTCAAATGGCTGTGGTGGGATTTATAGTTTCTTATCTAGTTTCCAGACCCAGAGCCCCTCAACTGAGGGGACACCAGGTTCCTATGAGGATGGATCCTGAAATGTGGCCAAATTGTATGCCATTACAGTTTCCCTAAGCCTTTTCCAGAGGGACCTGAAGCAATTAAGCAGGGAGAATGTGTAAGTTGGGTGGGGGAAAAGAAATACCCAGACTTTGTAGGGGGTTATTAGGAAGTGGTTCTGAACCTAAGAAGCTTTCATAGGTTCCTGGTTAAAGCTTATAGAAGTAAGAGTAGTGACAGATTTTTTTTTAATTTGAGATGGAGTCTCACTCTGTCACCCAGGCTGGAAAGCAGTGGCACAACCTCGGCACAACCTCAGTTACTTCAACCTCCACCTCCCAGGTTCAAGCAATTATCCTGCCTTGGCCTCCCAAGTAGCTGGGATTACAGGTACAAGCCACCATGCCCAGCTAATTTTTGTGTTTTTAGTAGAGATGGGGTTTGACCATGTTGGCCACACTGGTCTCAAACTCCTCACCTCAAGTGATTCACCTGCCTTGGTCGCCCAAAGTACTGGGATTACAGACATGAGCCACCACGCCTGGCCCATTTTTTTTTTTTTTGAGGCAGGATTTTACTCTGTCACCCAAACTGGAGTGCAGTGGCTGTTCACAGCTCACTGCAGCCTCCACATCCTGGGCTCCAACTCTCCTCCTGCCTCAGCCTCCCAAGTAGCTGAGACCAGAGACATGCACCACCATGCTCAGCTGATTTTTGTATTTTTTTTTTGTAGAGAAGGGGTTTCATCATGTTGCCCAGGCTGGTCTCAAATTCCTGGGCTCAAGTAATCTGCCTGTCTTAGAGTCTCAAAGTGCTGGGATTATAGGCGTGAGCCACTGCATCAAGCCAGGGAATAGATATATCTAATAACTGGCAGAATCCCTCAATGATTCTTACACCAGTGGAATGAAAGCTATAGTAGGAAGAGCCAAGTGTAAGGAAGCCCTTGAAACTGTACACCTTCTTCTTCACTCCCAACAAGATAGCAAGTCTTGTAGGGAGAATTGCAGAGATTAGCACTACCATAGAAAACGTGAAAGATACGGGAAAAGTGTCCTACTACCTCCTCACTTAACTCACTTGTCTGGCTGGTAGAAAATCTAAGTGGGTCATGAGGAATTACGGTGGATTGTTGCAAACTTAACCAGGTAGTGATGCCAGTTGAAAATGTATTTTCAGATGTGATAACTTTATTGGAGCAAATCAGCAGAGCCATGGCACCTAGTATATAGCTATTGAGCTGGTAGATGTTTCTTTCCATTTTAATCAGTAAGAAATATCAGAAGTAGTTTACTTTTAAAAAACAGGAACAATGTAAATTTATACTCTCTTGCCCTAGGACTATGTCAAGTCTCCTACAATCTATCCTAACAGTCCCAAGTGTCCTGGATCCTCTTTATATTGCATAGAACACCATGCCCATCCAATACATTGAAGACACAATACAACAGGATTTGATTAACATGAGGTGATAAGCCACAGGGTAGAAGATAAACACTGAAACATTCATGGTGCTAATGACATTTCTAGGGTCTAGTAGCCTGAGGGATATTGGGATAGCTAAACTTATTTGAAAGTTATTGCCTCTTGCACCATCTTACAAGAAGAAAGAAGTACAATTCTTGTTGGACTTCTTTGTGTTTTGAAGGTAATCTATACCACATACTGTATAATGAAAGGGGTCCATCCTTGTCACTTGGGCGTTATGACCCAGAGGACTCAAATGTGTTGGAAGTAACAACACAGAACCTTAGGGGTTTCTTTGTGAAAAATAGTTCTTGCCTTGCTTCTAGATTTTAATAGAGACAATGTGCCTGACGGTGGGATGCCAAGTGATTATGTTATTTGAATTGCCCATCTTGAACTGTGTAATATATGATCAACTGAACCATAAAATGGAACATAAGCAGCAGCATTTATTTTAAATGGAAATATATATGATATCAGGCTCCAGCAGGTCTGGAGGGCTCCATTAGATTGCATCAGTAAGTGGTTTAGACTTGCATGTACTTCCTCCTGATGAGTTTGTACCTGGCTCATGGATTTCTGTATGGTATTCTGGCATCAGGGGAAAGTGGACAATCCAGGTACTACAACCCCACTCAATGAGCAGACCTTTAAATGGAATTTCTGGTTGTCTATTTTGTGTGGAAGGAGATGATGGTCTGTGATACAGATCTACACTGACTCAGGGTTAGTCCCAGAGGGGTCACCTAGTCAGGGACTTGGAAAGAATAAAATTGAATGATTGATGAGAAGGAGAGTCTAAAAGACAGGTTATCTGGATAGTCATCATGGAATGGGACATAGTATGAATATATTTTTTTCTCATGTAAATGCCTGGTAGAAGAAAATCAAAGTAGAGGAAATTCTCGATAATCCATAACCCATATTGCCTCTTCTGAGAATGACGGCCTCTTTCCCTGGCCGCCTTGGTGTTTGCCCAATGGTCCAGTATTTGAAGTAACAATGGTGGCAGGGATAGATGTTATTCAAGGACTCAACAACATGTTGTCCCCACTGCGAAGTTGATCTGGCTATTACCATCATTAAGTATCTGGATGGTCAATAAAAGAGACTAACTTTTAGCTCCTGCTACAGCAAGATTCACCTGGGAAACCAGTGTGCGTGTCTCACAAAAGCATGCTCTGAATTACAAAGAAGGACCAGCAGGGCAATGGTTGGAGTGTTAATGGAAAACACAAATTCATCAGATAATAGGAACAATTCCATTCTTCCACTGTTGCTGCTGCTGTTTTGCTGAGTTCTCTTTAGCAAAAGGATCAGTTGGAAAAGAAGGAAACTGTTATGATTCAGCAATTTCATCTGTACACTTTGTCTCATTTCATTCTCATGACAACTCTCTATACTAGGTCATAGCCCCATTATAGAAAATGAAAACACAGGCACAGAGAGATTAAGTTTCACATCTATTCTAAAGTCTCATGTATAATAAGATGTGATATCAAAGCTTGAACTCAGATCTGTTTATATCTGCTTTTTAGGAAACTGTCTGGGATGCTAAGATAGATCTCAGTGGGTATCTGCTGGCTACTGTGGAGTTCATTCTCCTACCCTTGCACCTTTGCCGGGACACTATAGGAGGCAAACTGTTTTCTTCTCTATCTCTCGTTCAGCTGCAGTCTATGGAGTAAGGATGAGCAGAACCCTGCTTGAAGAGAGGGAGGCAATAGGTGGCGGCTACATGCTCCTGGGAAGGCTCCTAAAGTACCCTGGGTTGGGAAGCATCTCAGGGCTCTTTTTCCTGGTTTGCATCTACAGAATCTTCATCAAGGGATGGAGAGGAGTCTGAGTTTTATGGAGTCGAAGACCTGGAATGGGCCACATAGGAGAAGGTGAAGATGGTGAGGTAGGAGGCTACTTTGTAGGAGTGACCAGATCCTACAAAGGGGAGCCCTTTAATTCAGTCATATAGTTCTGCTCCATACACAAGCAAGGGTCATTTTCTGCATCCCCCTTTCCCACATTATATTTCACAGGAATGAGCTAATTCTCACATGTAACCCTCATGGCTCTTTTTCTGTTTCTTCCTCTTGGAGAGTGAGGCTTTTCGCTCCTGAAGCCGTTTCTAGACACTGTTCTGAGAAAACTTGTCTGATTTCTCCTAGACCCTCCAATGCCCCTCCGTCTGCGTTAGGTACCTCTTCTCTGTGGCTCCAGGAACACCCTGTGCTTGGCCTTTCCATAGCACTTTTCACATGTGCTGTGGGGTTGAATGTATCTATTTTGCAGTATTGTTGTGGGATAATATATGTAAAGTAATTAAGCCTGGCCTAGGGTTTTGTTATGGTGATTGTCTACTTGTCAGTCATGTCCATAGTAAGCTTTGAAGGAAGGGACTGTATCTCTGATACCTTTCACTGAACCCAGGACATGAATATTCAGTGAATTTCTGATGAAAGAATAAATGAATCGAACACAATGAGTTAAAGAGTAGCAAAGGTAGAGGATGAGTATGCTTTTCTTGAACCATTTAAATATATATAAATAATAAGCATACGATTCCTGATAATTTCAGTGAGAAAAATTCTTTATTTAAAATAGGCCATATATTTTTACTAGATTAAATAAAATACTCTATAAATGAGAACTGTAAATTCAATATACCAAACCCAGTAATACCAGTCAGGAGTTCTCCACCAATCCCCATTTAATAAAGTTTAAATGAATTAGCTGAGAATTATGAGAATATGTGCCTTTGCTTAGAGAAAAAAGCAGTGCCACATTTTCTGGATATAATAGTGTCATGCTAATAAGAGAAATTCTATAATGCTTAAGAAAGCTAAGAAACAGTGAATCAAATGCTGAGACCCTTAGACCATTGCTTTGATATTATTAATAGTATTTCTAAATCACGGAGGCAATTGACACGTTTTATTTCAACAAGATATTGAAAGCAAGAAGGGGACCTACACTATTTCTAGCCACTTGCATTTATTAGTATGCGCTTAGCACTTTTAATGCCTTTGCTGCAGAAGGATAATAAGTGTTTTAGCAAAAAGGTACACTGTGGGGACAAAGCTGGGAAGCTTGTGCATACAGAAAGTAGCTAATCTCTTAGAGCTCTCAGGGCTCTTGGAAATGCCAAGCGTCATGCATCATTTCGGGCTCCTGGGCTTTGTTTCCTGACATGGATGTTTGCAGAGAATTTGGGGCCATTGTGGTATCCATGGTTGTTTCTTCCTGGAAATCCACGGATGTGGTCATGTCAGCACCATAGGTCCCATAAACATCAGCTAATTCAGGGGTCATCATTGGGTCAGCAGCTGCTGGGGTGAAGCCGAGGGCTCCCTTCCTCTTCCCTGAAGGGCTTCTTGGCAGGCTGGAAACATCATCCTTAGGGAGAGCAAGGAGCCCTGCGTGGGCAGCAGGTTCTAGGTCTGGAAAGACACCTGGGTTTTCTGGATTGTCTGGGTTGGCCTCTGGCATAGGGGAGCCTTGTGCACCTCCTTCTCCCTTCTCGGGGCCTTTGGTTGCAGCCACTGGTGAGTCAAATTCCAGAGTGAAGTCACCGCCCATAGCTGGGTTGTGAGGCATTCCCCCAAAGCTGGGCCTCATGCCTCCAAATCCTGAAAACAAGGCTCCATAGCCCATTGGGCCTCCTCTCCCTCCCTGGAAAAAAGACATTCATCAAAGATACCATTATCACATGCTATTAACTATACCATGCAACTATACCTGGTCACATTCACCAAGGATCTCTAAAAAACTGGTAGAGAACAGGAAGTTGGCTGATAGCTTTGTGTGTGCTAATTTCTCACTAAACTGGCTTTGAAACATAATGAAGAGAATTCTGCACTTATCTGGGTAGGGGAAGGCCACTTCCACAAAAGAGAGATAACAGAGCAGAAAAAGTGAGTTTGAATTTAATTTTAAGAAAACAAGCAGTTACAACGGGTACTTCCATCATAAAACAATTAAGAATTGAAAGTCATAACTGCATTTGTTAAGGGAGAATCCTGTCAATGGCATTTTTCAGTGTCCCCCAAATAAAGTTTCATGTAAGTTTTTTTTTTTTTCTTTTAGGAATCTCATTATGTAGCTGGTCTAGAACTCCTAGGCTCAAATGATCTTCCTGCCTCAGCCTCCCTAGCAGCTGGGATTACAGGGGCGAGACTCTGCGGGCAGCTAAGACTTTAAAGCACAAAGTTTAAGAAAAAAGTTTGACTTCCCTGGAGTAACTAAAATATTTTCTTTCTGTGGACAGATAGAATTCCAGAACTGACCATGTTTCTTTCTTTACCTTTGCTGCCAGAAATATGGGTTCAAAATCTTAGGCTGTTTGTAGCAATTGAGCAGGATTGTGTGACTTGCATATCTATATTCTGATTTTCTTAAAATTATAACTCATTTTAAATCTTACCTTCAATTTTTGGTTATATTTATTGTGTGTTTTTCAAAAACTCTGAAAAGTCTTTTGGGAATGAGGCAGAATAGAAATAATTATCATTATATGATGGCAATTAACACTTACTTGAATTTTGAATTTCCAGCCACTTATATTGGTGTTATATAGATACAATATTCTTTCCTTCTACTTTCTCCTGACTTTTCATTCTCTAAGTCTCAGCTTTCACATAATCTCCTCCAGGGATGATGCTGTGAATCCCTGGGCTGGTCTAGCTGCCCTTCCTCTCTCTGACTCTCTCTCTCTAATAAAGCTGTTTATTACTTTTATCCCATGATTTTGACATTAGATATCTGCCCTTGTACCATCCTTTCCATTCATTAGATTATAAGCTCCTTGAAAACAATAAATTTTTTTTTTTTGAGACAGGGTCTCACTGTGTTGCCCAGGCTGGAGTGGGTACAATCTCGGCTCATTGCAACCTCCACCTCCCAGGTTCGAGTGATTCTCCTGCCTCAGCCTCCCGAGTAGCTGGGACTACAGGCTCGCATCACTACACCAGGCTGATTTTTGTATTTTTAATAGAGACGGAGTTTTACCATGTTGGCCAGGCTGGCCTCAAACTCCTGACCTCAGGTGATCCACCCATCTCAGCCTCCCAAAGTGTTGGGATTATAGGCATGAGCCACTGTGCCCAGACCAAACCAAGAATCTTGTCTTGTTTATATCATTTTCCTATGTGTGTGGCACACAGAAGGCACTCAAAAATACTGAGATGTAAGGTTTCTTTCACAGATAACATGTGTGTGTGTTTATTAGCTCGATAGGATCTGTAGTTGACAATGATTTGTTAATTCAATATCGCTTTGTTTTGTCTTGCCTTGTGCTCTAACAGATGTAACAGATAAAAAAATCTCTTAGGAAAAAAGTCAAGTTGTATGACTTTATTAGATCTCAAATCTGAAACTTGCATGAATAATAACATAGTAGGAGTATACTCTCATTGACAATGCACATTGCCATTTATAATAATTACATTTTAAACTTGGTTGATTTTCTTTTGCTTTTTGATCTTTCAATTTTGAAGTCTGAATTACTTGTAATGCTGTGAATTTGATCTTTTGAGGGGATAAATGGTCCCAGAAAGAACAAGAGCTCTGTATGAACCACACGTATCTTTTTGGTTTGAAGTGTTTATAGTTCAATGATAGCCTTTCAAGGGGTGGTTTGTCCTCTGCTCATCTACAAGCAATAGGGCAAAACTCTATGCTCAAGAATAGTAATCACCTAGAAATGAAAGATTACATAAGAAATATGATGAGATCTTTGGATATTGCTTCAGAATTAAGCTTTGTTTTTGGAGTGGAAAAATCTGAGTCACATGCTCATTTGGCTACATTCATGGCAGACATCTCGCAGTCAGCCATAAGTGACTGTTCTTCCCTGGCTACTATTTTAAGAAGAGTTAGAAGATATTACTCACTGCCATTTCTTCTGAACTCATGATGCCAAGTCTGGCAGGGGCATTCTGTTCAAAAAGAAATATTGCATCAAATTATGAATAAGCTACCTTCTTATCGACTCAAGACAAAGTTAAAATTATTTAGTTTTCACTTAAACCTTAATACTGTGTCCAGAGGCAGAGTAAAGTGGAGAGTTGAGTCATTATGGAATAAATGTAGCCAACTTGGATAATTCAGATCTAAAATTTATTTTTTCTTTAATACCCTTGTGTGTGTGTGTGTGTGTGTGTGTGTGTGTGTGTGTGTCTGGCCAGGATTATCCAAATAGGAAGTGTGCCACCTTACTAATGTAGGCATTCAGAGAATGTTTATTTGGAATCTCTTGTGTGAGACCTAGATTTAATAATTTTAGCTCTTAAGATAACATTTAATTAAAAACAATACTTTTTATAGAATATGGACTTACCAATTGATTTGCTCCAAAAGGCACGTAAAACATTCCTGGATAAAGCTAAATAAAATACAATCATTATCACAAACTGCATTTTCCAATGGAAAAACTTTTAAGTAAGTTGAAAACAGAGATGTGGTATAAAAAAAACCTTACCAGAGATTGTTTATTTTGTGGCATTGGTCCCCGAGAAATCAAACGGGCTATTTGGAAAATCTTAAATGGTGGAAAACAGAATAAATAAATCACATAGGCAAATCCCCATTATAGTAATTTCTGAGTTATATAAAACACATTTCCAGATGGATTAGTATAGGAAATAAGTACTTAATATTTAAAAAAGCAAAGGAACCCATTATATTTCATATTCATGAATAAATGGGACAATGAAAAAATTCACTCTTCTTTGAAATATACAACAGCTTTTGCAAGGAAGAGTCTCACTGAGATCTGTACTTACAGATGGACCCTGTGGATCAGCAAAATCCAATCTTGGGAGCTGTATTACAGATAAATATTAAAATTATCAGTCAAAAAATGAACAAAAAGATAAGTGCAAAAAAAATAGAAAAAGTAAACAAATTAAAAAAAATAGAAGTGTCTCATTGAGATTTTCACTTACTGACGGGCCTTGTGGATCAGCAAAATCCATTCTTGGGAGCTATATTATAGATAAATATTAAAATCATCAGTAAAAAAAGAACAAAATAGATAAATAAAAGTAAAAATAAAAATAGACAAAGTGAACAAATAAAAATATAAAAATAAAATACGGAAAGTGTCTCACTGAGATCTGTACTTACTGATGGACCTTGTGGATCAGCAAAATCTATTCCTGGGAGCTGTATCACAGATAAATATTAAAATTATCGGTCAAAAAAGAAACAAAATAGACAAATAACAATAACATAAAAAATAGACAAAGTGAACTGAACATATGCTTATCTTGTTTACAATGACAATAAAACAATTAAAATGAGTCATTATTTTACTTTCTTTTAGTGTTTTGGGAGGTATGACCCAAGAGTTTGCAGTGGTCTTTTAGTAACGTGACTGCAGTGTACTGGCAGGGGAATAAGGCACATCTCTCAAGGCTTTGCTATCTCTGCAGAGTAGAAAGTAATGAATTTTGGAACTGGAACATATCTGGTTGGTTTGAACCCTGGCTCTGCCACTTAGTTTTTGTGTACTCCTGGGCAAATTTTGTAACTTCTCAAAATCTGTCTTCCTTTCTTTAAAAAGGCTGATAATATGTATTTTTATAGGATTGTAGGCAGGATGATATGGGGAAATGATAAATGCCCACAACATACTGGTCATGTGGTACCTTCCTTTTTTTAAATCATTGCACTTTTCTCTACATTATTAGAAGGTACTTTTTGTGTGGTTGTCATCTCTCTGTCAGAGAGATAATAACGCAAAATCCTACTTGTTATGCTGAGGGATCAATTACTTTTCTTGGTCTTTCCAACAACAGAAAAGACCAGTGATAGGAAACCTGACTTTTCTGGGCTTCTATTCTATTTCATATGGAAGTTTTCTTCTTTTGCAACGAAGAAACCCAGTTTTATAGGCACAGGATCTAAATCTCAGTTATGGGAGACTGATTAAGAATATATTTGTGGCCAAGAGCAGTAGTGCACTCCTGTAATCCCAGCACTTTGGGAGGCCAAGGTGGGCAGATCACGAGGTCAAGAGATCGAGACCATCCTGGCCAACATGGTGAAGCCCTGTCTTTACTAAAAATACAAAAATTAGCTGGCCGTGGTGGCACATGCCTGTAATCCTAACTACTTGGGAGGCTGAGGCAGGATAATTGCTTGAACCCGGGAGGCGGGGGTTGCAGTGAGCCGAGATGGTGCTGCTGCACTCTAGCCTGGCAACAGAGCAAGATTCTGTCTCAAAAAAAAAAAAAAAAGAATATGTAATATATATCATGTATTATGCCGGAAGGCTATGACTATTTAAAAGTGGCCTGAAATTGGTTTTCTTTTATTAGGTTAGCTGGTGATTCTGATCTGACTTCAAGAGAAAGGAAGTACCTCAGGCTTTGGTGGCTTATCTGATGGTGCCACCTGCTGTTCAATCGGAGGCAGTTCTCCTTCTTGCAAGGGCAGCTGTTCCAGGTGAATTGGAGGCTGAAGCGCTTTCTGTGCTGAGGCTTGGTTGGCGGTTCCAGCAGCAGACTGGAGGAAAGGTTTCAGTCCTGGCTGTTGAGGCTTCAAGGATGGCTGTGATGGGAGAGGTGGGGGATGCACAGGCAAAGAATATTCATACTGCAGAGAAATTTGAAAAGAGCGTCAGGAAGGGGTGGCTCATTAGACAATGGTGCCTAGAATTTCTAAACAAAAGGGCTTGGGATGATTTCTATCTGGAAGGGAAGGAAGCTAGGGGACTTGTCTTGACGCTGCGTGTTCATAGGAAGCACCAGTGAGAGTTAATGTTGTTTGGGGAGGTCTTGTGTGTGCTTCCCCTGCCTCCTTTGGGAAGGACTTATGAGGGTGAAGCTACTTAAATCTCCCGGTAGGATGAGTCATGTCCTTCTCTAGGTTCCCACAACTGTCTGTATGTATCTGTATCTTTATTTTACCACTTTCTCACTGGATAATTATTTGTTATAAATCTTTGTCCACCAGTCAATGGAGAGAGAATGATATGTCTTGTTTTTCCTTATAGCCTCTGTACTTAGCATAGCTCCTAACAAGTGCCTGGCCCATGGTGGCTGCCTAGTATATTTTTGGAGTTAATGAAAGGACAAAGGTAATTAATTAAAATACCAATCAAATTCTTGCATCATGGAGTCCACTTTGGAAACAACTAAGTGAAGAAACAGTCACCATTAACAGAACTGATTGTTCTACTAAATGTGAGCTGGTGGTAATGCTCCTGCTGTGGAAGACCACCTGGAACTAAAATTCCCTGTTGATCTTGGTTATGAGTCATATATTAAACAAAAAAAATTCTCTGTTAAAACCACCATGTTTTGTTGCTTCTTTTAGAAATTACTTGTGGTGGATGGCTCCCTATTGCTTGTAGATTGATTGCAAACTTCTCAGTCAAACATCAAGGAAGTCTCACAACAATTTGGGGCTCTGCTTTGCCTCTCCAGCCATCACCCCTCTCTGAGCTCTCCCAGTATTCATTACTCACATCTCACAATTCACCAACTTAAAATATGTTGTCTCGTCCTATCTGAATCAGATGAGATATGAAATTTCACAATCCTTGGAACCATTCCTAAATGTCTTCACTTTTACTACCAAACCACAATTTGGTTTATGTGTTTATTGGGCACCTAGTCAATAATGGTTAACAGACTGATATATTATTGACTTCTGTAGGGTTCATGGTGTTTTTTATTTTTAATTTTTTTTGAGACTGAGTCTCACTCTATTGCCCAGGTTAGAGTGCAATGGCACAATCTCGGCTCACTGCAGCCTCCACCTCCTCCTGGCTTCAAGCGATTCTCTTGCGTCGGTCTCCCAAGAGTAGCTGAGGTTACAGGTGCTTGCCACCATACCTGGCTAATTTTTGTATTTTTAGTAGAGATGGGGTTTCATCATGTTGGCCAGGCTGGTCTCAAACTCCTGACCTCAAGTGATCCACCCACCTTGGCCTCCCAGAGTGCTGGGATTACAGGCATGAGCTACCACACCTGGTTATGGTATTTTAACCAGGATTATTGTCACCATTTGAAATTAGCCTTTGAGAAATTATTTAGAAAATCTTGATTCAAATGAAAATTGTCCAGGAAGTAGCCTGCTTCAATTTTTTGAGGATTGTTTCCTGATATCTTTAATATAGGTCTCCTATTTTGGAGGCCATATCTTCCTATTTTAAATAAATATGCAAATAGTTTCAAAATAAAAAAAATTTCTTAAATACTAAAGACAGTTATAAGCTTCAATTTATTTGGCATGAGAATAATTTTACTAGGACTTGGCTATTGCTAATATATCACAACTTAAGGAAGGCAAGTAAGCAGAGGTTTTAAAGCATGAGGTTTCAAACATATTGATGCTATTCACTCACCTGTTGAGTTTCATGTTCCCTTGGCCTCATCCATGGAAAAGAGGAATGTGGTGGGAGGAGACCATGCATCCATAAAGAATTAAATGATTTCCCAAAGCCAAATCTAGAATACTAAAGACATGGATAAAAAAAAGACTTGTTTATATTTAAATTTTAAATATGACATTGGTTACATTTTGTTCTCATTTTCTAAAAAATCAGCAGATAGCATAAATATAGCAAAAGCAAAAGTGATGTTGGTTAATTTAAAATGAATAGGTAAGGCTGGGCATGGTGTCATCCCTGAAATCCTAGCACTTTGGGAGGCCGAGGCAGGTGAAGCACCTGAGGTTAGGAGTTCGAGATTAGCCTAGCCAACATGGTGAAAGCCTGTCTCTACTAAAAAGCACAAAAATTATGGCATGATGACAGATGCCTGTAATCCCAGCTACTTGAGAGGCTGAGACAGGAGAATCACTTGAACCCAGGAGGTGGAGGTTGCAGTGAGCCAAGATCATGCTACTGCACTCCTGCCTGGGCAACAGAGCAAGACTCTAAAAACAAACAAACAAACAAACAAACAAACAAACAAATAAATAAATAAATAAAAACTAAATCAGATGAATAGGTAAACTCTTCCTTTCAATGAACTTAAATTTCATTTTGAGGTAGTCTACAATATTTCCATAAACTTGTTTGAGATTTAGCTTTTTAAGCACTTGTGTTTTGTGCCATGTAATGAAATTAATAATTCAGGAAAAGATCCTTTTTTTAACTAAATAAAATTCAATATTGTTTTTAGTTTTCCCTGTCACTCTATCTTACTTTGTTTTAGGCCCTCATTTACTTCTTTGTTCTTCCAATATTTAGGATATTGTCTATTCATAAACAAATTTGATGAATTATAATGCTGCTGCTAATACGAATACCACCACCACCATGAATACTTCCAATAAGAAACATGATTACCTGAGAAAGTGTATTTAATCCCTGCAAACTTCCCAACTGTCTCATTGTCTATCAAGAAAAAGAGGGGTTACTGTTTATCACCTACGTTGTGTTTGACACAACTAATTTCTCATGATATTTGACATTAACACAGAGTTTGGTGTGGATCAATTTAACAGAATGAAAGCAGACACAAATCATCACTGAAAGGTCAAAATGTTAAATTTGGTTCTGCCATTGTTATTATTATTGTGATTAAAATAATGCAGTTGCTTTTATCATTAATTAAAGGAGAAAAAGTTTTATTTAAGTGGGGTTTACATTGAACCATGGGAAAAGAGCTCATTCCACTGAAATATAAATGTAGGTGTGAGGACATTACTTCATTGACTCTTTTCTCCCCATTTAATTTACTTTGCCCTTTACAAGTTCAGCCAGAAGAGGAATTTGAGAAAAACAAACGAAACAAACAAATATAACTTTTACCTCCTTCCCAAACAATGTCTTTCAAAATAATAAATATAAAAACTATTGGAAGAAATGTTAAATATCTGGATAGATTATCAAGAATGCTACCATTTTAACAGAAAGTCAATTTAACTTTTTTCATGGGAAGAAATTTAGAATGTTTTGGATTGAGTTTAAGCTAAAAAGTAAGAAAAAAAAATTCCTCAGTGAAATTAGCTTCCATGTGAAATAAGCATCTAGCTCAAATAGGTGCTGATGACCCCCAGCTTGCCATGATACATGGAAATTTCACAAGAGCTTGTGAAAAATTTATAATCTTATAAATATATTTCTGTGTATAACTGTCAATATTTTATTGACATGACCAAAATTTCTGTTTTGCTGGGGTTTTCTAAACAGAATCTATATTATGTGAGAACTGCAATAAGACAAATATACCATACAACTTATGCAGGGAGTATCATAGTACAATGTTAATGTTATTTACCAGACTTATAAGAAATTAAATTTTGTATAGGTATTTTTTTTTCATGAGAACTTTATCTCATAAGATAGGATAAGAAGCAGGATTAAAAATAAACTATTTGTGAGTACAGAGCAATGTATTTTAATCAATGTAGTAATTTTATTAATGTGTATATAATGTATAAGGCATTAATTATTAATATTGCTTTGGTTTGCATAGAGACAATGTTCTAAAACTTAAAACACCTGAGAGTTTAAAATTGCAGTAGAATTATAAGACAAAGCTCTAGTAAATGTCATAACGTTTCTAGCACTCTTCAGGATAGCAGCCACAAACTTCTGGCTAGGAAAACTGAGAAACACACCATCCTATTTCCCCTGTATCACAAATATATCAACGTAAAGTTAATATGTAAAAAAATCTGATAATACATACCTCAAGGCTCAAACTAGCCATACCCGGTGTTCCAGATTGCTGAGGAAACAACTGAATGAAAGTAAGAATAATTTTGAGTCTCACTGTTACAAAACTTCCTTTGATGTTCACTGGGCATAGGCCATCCCTCCAGTACATAAGGGCTACTTGAGGGGCCACCATTTTGGTTTATCACCCAAATGACTTGAGTGCTTGGGCAGAATGAATAAGAACATAAGTTATTTGGGGGAATCAACATAGCATTTGATAACTTTGCTCCCACATGCATCATCATCCTTTGTCTCTACCTTAATGCTTCGTTGCTTTAAAAGCAAAATATGATTTAGAGTTACACACAGGAGAAGTAGAATAAAGCAACAAAACAGAAAACTACTAGTACTTTATATTCTTGAAGAATTACCACAGAAAAAAGTAAAGGGGACAAACTCAAGCTGAATTTTCATATGCTTTTGGCAAACCTACATGATTTTGGTTTACGGGATGTGGCACGGAATCATGATATTGAGAACAATCGTGCAAAATCTAACTTGATTCCCATTCAAAGGGCTTCAGCAAATTCTCTATCATTTCTAATGAAATATTATTTTATGCATAGGCATAGGATATCGCTTCAGTACATAAGGGCTACCTGAGAGGCTAATCTATGTTTATACTTTGGGATCATATCAGGTTTTTTTTCTTAAATAGAAAGCATTCTAGCACAAAATACTATTATACTTAATGTATTCATTTAAAAATTGTTCAGAAATATACCTACCTATTAAATTAGCTTTTCAAAATGTAACGTATTTTCCTTTCCTTTTTTTTTTTTTTGAGACCAAGTTTCACCCTGTCGCCCAGGCTGGAGTGCAGTGGCACGATCTTGGCTCACTGCAACCTCTTCCCTGCTGGGTTCAAGCGATTCTCCTGCCTCAGCCTTCTGAGTAGCTGGGATTACAGGCACAAGCCACCACCACACTTGCCTAATTTTTTTATTTTTAGTACAGATGGGGTTTCTACTAAATTCTCAGCTTGAGTTCAGGAGGTCAAGACAAGCCTGGGCAACATAGTGAACACCATCTCTATTGAAAAAAAATAAAAGAGGAGGTTGGGTGCAGTGGCTCATGTCTGTATTGGCAGCACTTTGGGAGACTGAGGTGGGTGGATCACCTGAGGTCAGGAGTTTAGACCAGCCAGGCCAACATGGTGAAACCCTGTCTCTACTAAAAATACAAAAAAAATTAGCCAGGTATGGTGGCAGGTGCCTGTAATCCCAGCTACTTGGGAGGCTGAGGAAGGAGAATCGCTTGAACCCAGGAGGAGGAGGTTGCAGTGAGTCAAGTCTGCGCTATTGCACTCCATCCTGGGCAACAGAACCAGACTGTCTCAAAAACAAAACAAAACAACAACAACAAAAAAGAAGACTAGAGGGAAGGGAAAGGCATTATAAATGTGTAGCAAATACTCTGGGTAGGGAAAGAGGTTAGCTGTGTAGACAGGAAGAGTGATTGTGCATGTGTGTGTGTATGTGGTGGATAGCTTGTTGAGAATTTGGGGGTTGGTGAGAGCAGGACCTTCTCTCCCACTATTTGCCAGTACATGAATAAGACATCTTAGATTGAATGACAGAACAAAGTGTACTTTGCTTCTTATCTGCTGTAAGTCATAGATTAAAGAATGTTTACATGAATGTATACAGGCAGGGGATACATTTCCCATGCAGAATGAAAAGGAGAACATCTGATCTGATAGGCAGTCAGTTGGCAATAATAAGCAATTGTTCTGTTCTTCAGAGTGGACCCGATTGATTCAGGTGTCAATCAATATAGGTTCAAAGAAGTCCAATGTATTAGACTGATGATGAATGGCTGACACTGACCCCAATGTCAGTATCATACAAAGGTAAGCATGGGTGGCACCCTCAATTTTTCTATCATTTATAATTCATCTTGTCTTATGGAACAGAGACTCTATTTTTATTTGTGGAATTAAGGTTTCATCATTATAATCAGTTTTCATCCTCTTTCTCTAAAACACTTTAAGAAAACAAGTAGCTAACCATTTCTTTCGGGAATTAAAATATTTGAAAGTTTATCTGAGGCCAACTATGAGCTCCTGGAGACAAGAGATCATGTCTTACTTTCATTTTTTCAATGCCCAGCACATTGCTGGATGCATGGCAGCTCCTCAGTATATATTTGCTAAATGCATACAACAGCCAAATAAAGTTTTTGTGATAACAGAATTGCATGCTGTTGGCTGGAGTTCAGTGTTCAAAAGCTGTGTTTACATGAGATCATTTCAATATATACTACAGTGGATCAGGTGTGGGACTGTAATATGAAATTAGTCCCATTGCTATGGCATGTTTTGATTTAAGAAACTTCAGCTCTTAGCCACACAATTTCATGCTTACAAGGTAAATTTTCTAGTTAATTACTAGCTTCAAATGGAATTATCTAGCTCAGTTTTGTAACCACAGTAATTTGGCAGATCGTTGTTTTTGAAATGAAGAAAATGTACTTTTTTCCCAGAGAAATTTCCTCTTTCCATATCAGCTTTATAATGATAGCAAGAAGTTGATAATAAAATTGTGCCATGCATTGTGGAGACTATTAACTTTGAATGAGTAGAAAAAGATTAGAAGTTGCCTTAAGACAATTTAAAATAAGTTTTTAGTAGAAATATCATATGTTTCGCTTACTGCATTTCATTTTATTTTTTTTTAGACAGGGTCTGACTCTGTCACCCAGCCTGGAGTGCAGTGGCACAAGCTTGGCTCACTGCAACCTCTGCCTCCCGAGTTCAAGCAATTCTTCTGCCTTAGCCTCCTGAGTAGCTAGGATTACAGGCACACACCACTATGCCTGGCAAATTTTTGTATTTTTAGTAGAGATAGGTTTCACCATATTGGCCAGGCTGGTCTCGAACTCTTTACCTCAGGTGGTCTGCCTGCCTCAGCCTCCTAAAGTGCTGAGATTACAGGCATGAGCCACTGCACCTGGCTATCACTTACTGCTTTTGGATGGCAAGACTGAAATCTGGGCAACTATGGCTTTTGACTCAATAGGACTACACCACTGGATTAAATAAAGTGAATCTGTGCGTGGACTCTCAGTCCATGTCCCTTCAGTGTTGTTTGGAGTCCAACACGTAGGAACCTCTTCTGGGACACACTCTAAAGATTGACTTACCGGCACTGCAAAACTCATTTCCAGGAGGCCTAGGATCAGTATCAGGTCCTTCATTTTGAAAAGTGGAATCTAAAATATAAGTTAGTTGGAAAATTAAATCAGATGAATTTTTATTCAGAATGGTTAAAAGACAATTTTTAAAAATGAGCCTGAGTCTCTGCTCTTCCAAAAACAATAGGTATAAAGGTTAGAAGAACAAAAACGAAAACTAAATGTTACTAAACAACTGATTTGTATGTAGTAGTTCTGAAATGAATTAACAAGCAATTAAAAATTGTCTAAGCACTTTTTAAATGGAGCTACAGCCTAAATAAATATGTAGGAACAACCTGCATGGATATTCTTAAAATGCTATGTTTTATTTCATAAAATGAATTTTGAATTTAAAAATCCTTTCCACTAAGTAAAATATTGGTCTATAAGATATTATTCATAGAAGTTTATACTTTGCTTACCCTTTGGAACACATTTTGAAATGCATGTGAAATGTAATGGAACCAACAATCATTTTGTAACAAACCTTTATTTGCAGGAATAGAGGGTATATCCTTGCACCTTTAGGTAATCTACACAACCATGCCAAAACTTATCTTTTCAAATGAGAGTAAATTGACTATTTTAATTTCCTTTGGTGTTAGTGGAAAATATGTCTCAAATTTAGTTTTCCTCTTCCTAAAATGAATTATCTTTTAAAATTTATTCTATAAATTCAAAAAGCTCTTTATTCTTACATAAATAGAGATCTGAATAGCCAAGAAATTTATTCATCTTTTAATATTTTTAAAAAATAGACAGTCACTAAGAATAAAAAATAGTTAAAAAAAAACACCAGAAAACAAAATGCAAAAAACCAGTCCAAAGATAAAAGTCTTTTTTTTTTTCTTAGTTGAATGCGTATTAGGCATGTCATCTCTGGAACTTGCTAATGGATTACAACAAGCAATAATTCAGCTACTGGTGACAAATGAAGATAAATCCTCCTTATAAAAGCTGTCTGGAGATAGGAAATAAAGAATTTACAGGAAACACATGGAAATCACAAAATCCCATTTTACCTTAGATGCTGACATGCACTGTGCTCTCAGGGCCTGATGATACCAAACAAGATAGTTCTAAGAAAAGAAGATTAAAATTTTTTTCAGGACAGTGCGTGGGACTTGCTCTGTACTTCTCATTCAGTGAAGATCAGGAACCTTTATTTAAAGTGCAAATCCACCAATCAAAGTGAAGGAAAATGGCGGGGGAGGGGGAAGGAATTTCTGCTCCTGCAATTAGTCTACACCCTTTTATTGCGTGCAGGGACATTGGTCCAGTAGGTTCTCATTACTTTTAATTGTACTGCAGCCCCTGTACTTATTCAGAGAACTTGATAGCAGGAAAGGGAGTAAAGGAATAATGGACACGGGCTCTGAAGACAATTGTTTTGGTGAACTGGGGAAATACATGTAAATTAGGTGCAAAACAAGCCATTATCTGTTTTGTGCTGGTTTTATCTGCAGATAAAGCTAGTGACCCAATGCTAGCATTCTTCAGATTTTCAATCTCCGATTTGTTGTAGTGAAAGTAACTACCCTCCTTCCCCACCAGCACACGCAGTCTAAAACGTTAGATGGATACTGAATGTGTGTGATTTCTTCTTTGAATTTCCTAGATATTTTCATATCTGGAGATAATTGATTAGAAATAGCCAAGTTTTTGTGAGATACTGCAATTGTACCCTCTGCTAGAATCACTTCAGGTAAACCTTTGGTGCACTTAAAAATTTTTTTTGTGGGGACAGGGGCATAAATCTGAACATTCTCCATGAGCCAAATCAATGGGCACAAGTGTCAGTTCACTCTTCAGATAGACATTTCCAGGCATTAGTATCAAGCCAGGGTGATAAGACATATTTGGATCACTTAAAAGGTTAATATCAACACAGGTTTTTCTCCATGTTCAGATAATATCTTGAATGTGGATTGAACATTAGCTGCTTTTGTTATTTCTCTGCCCATCCTTGTCTTTCCAAAGTTATGATTTCAGATATGATAGGGATAAGCATTTGAGATTAGTTTCTGAAGAAGGGATGAGTCAGTATACTCTTTAGGGAAGTAGGGATCCTGCCAATTACAGGGAACATTGAGGAAGCTGGTATTTTGTGAGACAGATGTATCTATACTCAAATGTAGGCCTAACAGCTTCAAATAATGTTATCTTAGAAGCTGCTTCTGAAAACCTCTGTTTTCCACTGAAACCAGAATTATCTTTAGGATGCAAAGAAATGAAGAATGTGAGTGTGTTTTGCAAACAGCAAAATGTTATTGAAATAAAAAGTATTATTTTGCACATTCTCTCTGGTGCCTGATGCAGTCCCTTAATCTCTTTTGAGGTTTCTTCTTCTGTTATGTAAGGATAATAATTCATGACCACAGGGCTTGTGTTTTTTTTTTTTTTTTTTAGATGGAGTCTTACTCTGTTGCCCAGGCTGGAGTGCAATGACGCGATACCAGTTCACTGCAACCTCTGTCTGCTGGGTTCAAGTGACTCTACTACCTCAGCCTCCTGAGTAGTTAGGATTACAGGCCCGCACCACCATGCCCGGCTAATTTTTTTTGTATTTTTAGTAGAGACGGGGTTTTCCCATATTGGCCAGGCTGTTCTTAAACTCCTGACCTCAGGTGATCTGCCTGACTTGACCTCCCAAAAGTGCTTGGATTAGAGGCTTGAGCCACCACACCTGGCCTGAGCCTGTCTTAAAGATTGGTGAGATGGTGAAGATGCAGTAGCTGCCATTTATTGTGTGCTGAATGAATGAGTCGATTGTCCTTTTGGTGGGAGGAACTACATGAAATATGAGACCACAAGAACAGTGTGTGTGTGTGTGTGTGTGTGTTAGAGGAGGAGGTGTGCTGGTAGCAAGGTTCATAAGCTCCAAGGAGGTAGAGGCGGGACCTGATGGAGAATATTTTCTCCGTGTGGAAGTTGATGCTGAATCCATAGGAACGAGCTTCTTAGTTGGCTACTAAACTGGGAAATAGTGTGTGTGTGTGTGTGTGTGTCTTCTAAAGTTTATAAGCATGATCATGATAATGATGTTTTGGTAGGTTTCTTATGTTCTGCTTTGCTTTGAAGCCAAATATCCAGTATATCATATACACTGTTGCTTCTTCCTTTTTTACATGTCACACTCCATTCTGGCTTTTTGTCTTCCAGATGCTTATCTGGTAATTTGTTTCTCCTAGAATATCCTGTACAGCAACCAACACTAGACTTATCATCTTAAAACACTGGTTTTGGCATTTCACTGCCCCACTCAAAAACTACATAAGGATCTCTAAGGCTATGAGATAAAGTTCACCCTCTGTAACTAGACAGTCAGTTTAGCATTTCAGTTCACATTTCCAATCTTATTTCCCACTTTGTATGAGACATTGTGCATTCATATTGTAATAATGATTGTAATCAGTAGGAGTTGGTTTCATTTTTTAGGCAAATAAACAGTTTTTTGGTCTTATTTTATGTTACTGGAAAGATGATAAATATAATATTAACATATCTTATGAAAAATGCTTTTTTTTTTTACTGAGACAGAGTCTTGCTCTGTCACCAGGCTGGAGTGCAATGGCATGATCTTGGCTCACTGCAACCTCCGTCTCCCGGGTTCAAGCGATTCTCCTGCCTTAGCTTCCTGAGTGGCTGGGACTACAGCTGTGCGCCACCATGACCAGCTAATCTTTTTGTATTTTTAGTAGAGACAGAGTTTCACCATGTTGGCCAGGCTGGTCACGAACTCCTGACCTCAGGTAATCTACTGGCCTCAGACTCCCAATATGCTGGGATTATAGGCAAGAGCCACTGCGCCCAGCCTCATATAGTGTTTTTAATCTGTGAAATGTAGTCTACCATAGATCAACATTAATTTAATTAAATATAAAATATAAGGTCTTAGCATACTAGCTGGTAGCCAAGAAATGTTCAGTGATCATGAGTCATTATCATTCTTGTGAAAACGGAATATGAAGGCTAAAAATCTGCTTCACATTAAAATCTTTTCTTAGCTTTATTGAGGTATGATTGATATATAATAATTGCACATGTTTAATGTATACATCTTGATGAGTTTAGACATGTGCATATGCCCTTGATACCAGCACTACAACTAAGGTAATAAACATATCCATTACTTCCAGAAATTTCCTTGTGTTCTTTTGTGTATGTGTGTGTGTGCTTTTTTTTTTAAATAGTAAGAACAGTGAATAAGAAATATATCCTCAAAGTATTTTTAAGTGCACAATGTAGTATTGTTAACTACGGGCACATTGTTGTACAGCAGATCTCTAGAACTTACTCATCTTGCATAACAGAAATTTAATACTCATTGAAGAAAATTTTCCATTTCTCCCTCCCCTCCAGCTTCTGGCAACCACTATTCTTTGCTTCTGTGAGTTTGTCTATTTTAGATACCTCATAAGTAGAATCATGAGTATCTGTCCTTTTGTGACTGGCTTATTTCACCCGGCAGAATGTCTTCTAGGTTCATCCATGTTGTCACAAATGGCAGAACTTCCTTCTTTCTAAGGCTGAATAATATTCCATTGTATATATATTTTCCATTTTCTTAATCCATTTTTCTGTCAGTGGACATGTGGGTCATTTCCATGTCTTGGTTTGTGTAAATAATGCTGCAATGAACATGAGGGTTTTGCCTAGACTTTTTTCTTGCCTCTTTACAACTTGTTTGCAAAGTCCCAGTCAAGTTTTACCTCTTCTGTGACTCCTTCCCCCACTTTCCACTCCACTGTGATTTTTCCCTTCTCTGAATTCCAATTAAGTGTCATTCATACACTACATTGTGACAGCTTGCTCATTGAAGATCTTTAACATTTACTTTGTATGTGGTCTTCTAACTTTCTGGATATGGCTTTCATGTCTAATATTCCTGTGAGGTAGAAACCACCCATTCCTCTAACTTGCTTCATTTGGTGTTCTATGTGCGTCATAAGATTAATAGCTAATATTTGAATAGCACTTACTGTGGACAGTTTTTTTGACTGTTTTTTATATATATTAATTTATTTAATCCTCAAAAGAACTTTAGGAAAGGTGATTCTTCCCCTTTCTATACATAATCTAACAAAACTATAGAGAGGTAAAGTAAATTGCCTGAAGTGACACAGTCAGTAAGTGTTAAGTAGAATTCAGACTCAGGTATCTGGCTCTGAATCCTTGCTTTTATGCACTACGTCAAAATGAATTAGTTACTCACTGGCAGATGACATGGACCAATCAATCACTGGCAGATGCAAAGGAGCATACCACACACACCTGTCTATAGAGAATTTATCAGCTTTTTATAAAAGGAAGAGAGGTACACAAAGATAGTTAATGAAGCATACAATAAATCAATAATAACTTAAAAAGCACAAATAATACCAAGAGACATAAGCCCACATGAATTAACCTCCAAAATAAGAATGCTACAGAATAGTAGTTCTCAATTACTGGGAGAAAGGGTAGGTATTAATTGTTCCAAGGAAAGAATCGAATGGAATTTCATGCATTAAGCTTCAGTAGAAGGGATCAAAGGGAGAGAGCATGGTTGTGTCAGGGGAAGGCTTTTTTTTCATTTGCATTTTACTTTTATTTATTTTTGCTTTAATAATGCATATTCTGTTCATGCAAAAGGTGCAAAGGACAGAAAGCAGGGGTTTAACTCTGCTGATGAAAAATCAAGCAGGGATGACATTTCTAGTTTCATGAACAACCTAAAACTAGGAGAAACTTAAAAGGCACACCTGGTACCAGAGAGCGTGTCCAACTTCACAGCTGTCTCCTCTTAGAATGGAAGGCCAACTTTTGAAGCTGCCTGATACGGTTTGGCTGTGTCCTCACCCAAATCTCATCTTGAATTGTTCCCTTAATCCCCACATGTCGGGGAGGGACCTAGTGGGAGGTAATTGAATCATGAGGTCAGTTACCTCCATGCTGTTCTTGTGATAGTAAGTTCTCATGAGACCTACTGGTTTTACAAGGGCCTATTCCCTTTTTTCTCAGCACTTCTTCCTGGCACCATGTGAAGAAGAATTTGTTTGCTTTGCCTTCTGTCATAATTGCAGATTTTCCTGAGGCCTCCCCAGCCCTGCAGAACTGTGAGTCAATTAAACCTCTTTCCTTTATAAATTACCCATTCTCAGGCAGTT